CCGTGTAAATCAAATAAAAAATCAAGAAACATTTTAAAAATATCCTGACGTTTACACTTGAAAAGCATTTTTTTTGCGAATAAAAATCCTGAAAAAATTCAATATTGATAAAACTGAAGGAGATAGATTTAAAAAAAATAATAATAATAAAAATAAAAATAATAAATAATTTGGATGACCTAAAGGAAGCAAATTTACAAAATATTATTGATAACACGGTTCGGTGAATATATATATATATATATATATTTTTTTAGTCAAATAAAGTATACACTATAATTGCCTCTTGATGGAATAACTTGCCAAATGTACAGAGCAGGGTGGGGGGGGAGGGGTTGATAATTAAATCTAAGGTCTGTTTTCCTTTGCTCGTAGGGTATATACGAGATATGGTTTAGTATATAATCAAGGAATGGTGATGATAAAAGATAAGGTTTATTTATTTCATTTGTCTTTAGTCTTATAGATACATATGGGATAACGTTCAGTATCTCTACGTGGAAATAGTGTGATAACGAATCTGTGATTGGATATCTTTTGTACACAATTCCAATTTGCATGTTGTCCGACACAATTTCCGTTGGTTACAAGAGCAAATCACATTGAAAAACCACAAGCACAGACCACAAGCAAGCAAGCAAGCAAAAAAAAAAAAAAAAGATGAAAATGAAAAAAAAGAAACACCTACCCCACTTTCCTCCAATATTCTCCGACGCACGAAACCCGCCTCTATTCACCAAGGCAATAGAGGCGTGAAAGGCCTGCGCCCTCTCCCCGCGGCACGAGGCCATGATCATTCTATGAGAGTTTGTAATTTGGGAGTGAAGCACGCCGGGCTCGACTACGGCTTCGCTCGCTTGTGAGGCTTCGTTCACCCGTGATTACTTCCAGCGACCTTTCGTCCCTGTCCGAATGCATTGGATACGGAGCGCGTGCCGTGGCGTCGGCGCGAGCGAAAGGCGGCGGGAACGAGCGATGCATTGTGGGAGGCGCGCGGTGTATGTATGTGTGTGTGCGTGTGTGCCGGGGACTCGGTAGTCGGACCTGCACTGTCTCGAATATGTTTGCTTAATTTTGCCGCTCTTTTCTGTGTCTCGCTGTCTGCAGGGGAGGCGAGGATACAGGAACGAGCTTGCACCCCTCTGCCGGAGGGAACTCGAGCGCACGGACGCATAGGAGATGCCATACGAGTAGAGTAACTCTGTAACTTGGCAATTACACTTTTGGAGAGTGAAAAATTCTGTAACTGATTCAGCGCGAGGTTTTGTTGAAGCAGTAATATGTGATCACGGTAGGGGCGAGAAAGAGAGAGAGAGGATTGGCTCTCTCTCTCTCTCTCCCCTCTCTCTCTCTCTCTCTCTCTCTCTCTCTCTCTCTCTGTGTGTGTGTGTGTGTGTGTGTGTGTGTGTGTCTGTTTGTCTGTCTGTTTATCTATCTGTCTTACCTTCCATGTATTCTCCACACAAAGCCACGCTACACGTATCGGAGTAAGAACAAATATATTTTGAGCTGAAATACCAATTTTTACATATCCATAAAACACTCATTCTCACATCATGCAACTAAGCCTAACTTTTCCCTATCAACAGCCATGCTTAGAACATTTACCTTTCGTTCTTATCAAATTTCACAAATCAACGTAACTCACTCATAATAATTACATTTTATTATTCTTTCTGTTGTATCTAACGGAGTACTTTAATTTTTATTGCTTATGCATTACTTTACTGAGTGGTAAATGAAGCTCTAGATAGGCTACATTCAACAACAATGAATAAGTACAAATTTAAGTATTATCCGTCATGTTTACTTATCATCAACAATATTATGATTATTATAACAGTATTTATCTTATATTATTATCAAGTATTTTTAAATATGACGATTTGTAGGTCATCAATAGTATTTCAGTATTACTCCTGGTTATTTCACTATTATCATTCACTATTGAGAATGACAGAGACAGTGATAATTATGAACTGGGAATAAGGTATTTATTAATTGGATCAAATCGCTTTTGAACTAGTTAAACGTGCCCTTACATTGTTTACTTATATATGATAAACCTATCAGCTTTTGATTTGAAATCGTACACGTTCAAATTAAACCTCCTTCCTACATTTATAGAAATTTATAAGTGTGCATGTAAATATTGAAATGCAATGTATTTTTTCATCAAAATTCCTAATAAGTGTGACTAGAATCGATTCACTTAATGGTAATCAAAAATTTAATAACATTTTTTTTTCTCTGAACAAACAACGCATTTAAATTCATCTTCCTTCCCACTGAGTTGTTGACATTATGAAGTCAAAGTCTGAATTAAAAAGATAAAAAAGTTTAATCTGGACACATGAGTATGACTTCCTTTTGATTAAGGTATGTAATCGTTATACTATTTTCATAATAATTACCATGTTTTAGCTCCGTGAGTAAAATCTGTACAACACACAGATTACTATGCTTGATAAAAGTATACTCTACTGGAATGTGTATATCCTAATGACATATCCATTTACATACTGATGATTACTCTAAGTAGTTTTAAGATATTTTTATTTCTAGCAGAGATGTAAAGAATAGATCTTAAGTAAAAGAGAAAGAGAAAGAGAGAGAGAGAGAGAGAGCGAGAGAGAGAGAGAGAGAGAGAGAGAGAGAGAGAGAGAGAGAGAGAAGAGAGAGAGAGAGAGAGAGAGAGAGAGAGAGAGAGAGAGAGGGAGAGAGAGAGAGAGAAAGAGAAAGAGAAAGAGAAAAATCACATATCAATATATCAACAAAACCACGTTCTGTGTCTGGTACAGAACCATTTATTCACAAATTAATAGAAAGAGTTTAAATACATATACTACTACTACTGCTACTACTACTACTACTAATAATAATAATAAAGAGAGGAAGAGATAGATAAACATTAACAACGAACATACCTTATCCACCTCACCATCTCATCTGAAATCCCTTTGCATGATTGCAACTTGAATAAAATTGCAAGCGAGTTCGAATCCAAAGAACCACCTGGAGAATAACCTGTGCATAAATAAGACAAAAAAGAAAAGAAAAATGAAAACTTACAAAAACAATCTAAAGAAAGGGAGATAAAATGAAAACAGAAGAGGTGCATAAACCAAAGAAAGAGAGACAAAAGAAAAAACAAATGAAGTGCATAAAAAAGACAAAGATAGCTAAACAAAGGAGGAACAGAAAAGAAGAGAAGAGATGCATAAATAAACGAAAGAAAAAAAAGAAACCAAAGAAAGGCAGAAGAAATGCATAAAAAAAGACAAAAGAAAGAGAAACAAAAGAAAAAAAAAGGAAAGAAAAAAAATATGCATAGATAAACCAAAAATAAAAATGAACAGAAAAGAAAAGACCAGAGAGAGATAGAATAGCAAAATAACTTCTCATACATAGAAAGCCTTTTAAATTTCTAGCTATTTCTCGAGACACAAAAGCGAAAACGCTCGCTGACTCACACGTGTATGTATTTGGTAATGTCCAACTACCTGTAAAGTCTATTTATAAACTTCGTAACCTGCATTTCCCTGCTCTGACGTGAGTAGCTTTGCGACTATGTACACTTATCGGTGTGGGTGTAAACAGGGATGAAATTGTATGTGTTATTAATTTTGTTTCCTGAGAAGTGTGTCTAGACTTGATTCACTTAATGGGAATCGGTAATGTGATTAGGGAAGGATTTTTCTCTGGAGGAAGTGCAGTCTCCTTCCTTGAAATATATATACATGTATATATATATATATACACACACACGCATACACGCACACACACACACACACACACACACACACACACACACACACACACACACACACACACACGCACATACACATAACACACACGCACATACACACCAATACTCACACAAACACACACATCCATGTATATATACATATATGTCAATATGTACGGTATGTATACACATGTATGATACACATACATACGTATATGTATCAATTGATGCACAGAATACAACCTAAGCGATATAAAACGCACATAAATCCTACATTCTAATATGTCATTTGATATAAATGTCAGTTGTGAATATTGTATACCATAGTGAAATTATTAAAAGCACATACTCACCATTATAATCTCCGAAACGTTATTAACTCTCTTGGATGTTGAAATAAGAGGAAAGAATATTCTTCTTGGTTTACACATTCATAACTTTATTCATAGAGTTTACATTTCTTTGGTATATAACATGCACTATTTATCATGAAAAAGGTCGTTGTTTTATTTAATATTCACAATCCTGAGTATTACAACGTTTATGCGTAAAATGACGTACAAGTCCAGCGCCTTATATTTAAATTTTCGTCTCCCAAGCTCCCAGGACCACTTGATCAACTCTTCGCCATCTTGGTTCTGTTTCTTTGGTATTCCTCCGCGACACTTTCGGTGGGGGAGGGACAATGAACCTTAGTCACTGGTAATGGATATTTAGGTGTAGATTTTATTTTATGTTCTATCTTTTCTTTCTTTTTCTTTCTCTGTCTCTCTCTCTCTCTGTCTCTCTCTCTGTCTCTCTCTCTCTCTCTCTCTCTGTTTTTTATTTCCGCGTCTCTGATTGGCTAGGGGACGCCTCGGTAACAGCCAATCACAGTCGGACAGGCTTGCTATTCGTCCGGGCGTCAGGTGTGTTATTGATCCGGGTTCTGAGTCACAAGAGGGGGGCGGGGAGGGGGGGGGGGCTTTGGCAGGGGAGCAAACGTTCTGCGAATCCCCCCCCCTCACCCCTCACCCCCACCACCCCTTCCCCTCCTCTCTTGTTGTGTTCCCCGCTGTTAATTGTCTGCACGGGAAATGGATGTTCGGTTGCGGTGACTAGTAATATTAGTGATAATTATTACGTTGGTAATGATAGTGATGGTAGTAATAACGGTAATAATAATAGTTATGATATTAATGATAATAATCATTATCATGATAATAAAAACTATAATAATAATAATAATAATAATAATAATAATAATAATAATAATAATAATAATAACAATAACAATAATATTGATACTGATAGTGATAATAATACCAATAATAATAATAATAATAATAATAATAATAATAATAATAAATAACAACAACATTGATGATGGTAATAACAATAATAATAATAGTAATAATAATAATAGTAATAATACCAATAACACCACTAAGGATAAACGGACGAGGAACAGCAAAAGAGCCCAGCCTTTGAACAGAGGAACCGGCCAATGCAAGAAGAGACACAGCCAGTTCGTAGCTTGAATTTGCGTTTCCTGTGCCTTCGACGGGACTTAGCGAAGAGACCCCCAGACCCAGTGGCTTCCCGCGACCGAATCTTCTGTGGGCTGAAGAGGGCGAAACCACTGTCTGGTCCGGGGGAGGGAGGTTTCACTTTTTTATGGGAAGAGGAAAAGGGGGTTGCAAGATTAGGGGGAGGGGGGTTGCAAGAGAAGTAGGGATTTTATGCAAAAGCAAAAGGAGTGGTTTTTTTTGCAAAAGAAGTGTTTTCTGCAATAGGTGTGTTTTTTGCAACAGGAGTGTTTTCTGCAATAGGGATGTTTTCTGCAACAGGAGTGTCTTCAGCAAGAGGAAGTAGTATCCTTTTTGCAAGAGGAGAGGAGTATTGCAAGGGAGTGAGGGTTAATTTAGCAAGGAGGCTTGGGGGGGGGGGGGGATCTAACCTACACTAGTCTAATCTACAGTAGACTAGCCCGTCACAGACTGGGCTAGGTTCACTTAGGACGGCGCCCGAAAGTGGATAGGAGTCGTGAAACCGCAGCGGGGAGGGGGGGGGGGGATAGGAAGCGACAAACGAACCAAAACCAATAAACCAAAATAGGTAGACAAAGAGAGATAGATAGAGAAACAGAGACCGAAAGCGAAAGCTGGAAATCGCCGAGCTGGTGGGCGGAGTTTAATGTCTCTCGCTCGGCAACGCGATCGATTTAATGGGACCGCGAGAGACCTAACGACGGAGGTAGGAAATGGTAAATGGGGAGGGGGAGGGGGTAGGGAGGGGGTAGGAAGGGGAGGGGGAGGAGGGGAGGGGGGAGGAGGGGATAGGAGGGGAAGGGGAAGAGCGGAGGGAGGGATAGGAGGGGAGGGGGGAGAGGGGTAGGGAGGGAGGGGGTAAGAAAGGGAGGGAGGAAGGAGAAAGGGGGGAAGGAGGGGGTAGGAGGGGGAGGGAGGAGGGGAGGGGGAGAAGAGGGGGGAGGGAGGGAGGGAGAAGGATGGTTAGAGGGGAAGACCGGGGGGAGGGAGGGGGAGGAAGGGGGAAGGAGGGGAGACCGGGGGGAGGGAGGGGGTAGGAGGGGAAGAGGGGGAGAAGCATGATAGATAGTGAACTACGAAGCGAAATAGACCCACGGGAAAACGAAATCAGTGACTGGTTAGAATGACAGGCATGACAACGGTGATGATAATTAATGATGATAATTAATAGTGATACTAATAATGGTGATGATGATGAGGATAATAACAATAACAATAATAATAATGATAATAAGTTAATAATAGTAGGGATAATAATAATAATAATAATAAGTTAATCATAATAATGATAATAATAATAATAATAATGATGATAATGATAATAATAATAATAATGATGATAATAAGTTAATAAGAAATCATTATAATGATAATAATAGTAATAATAATAATAATAATAATAATAATAATAATAATGATAATAATAATGATAATTACAATAATATTAATAAAGTTAACGAAAACAATGATAGCAATAATGATAATGGCAACGATGATGATAAAAGTAGGGATACTAGTAATAGTAACAATAATCATAATGAATGTAAATGATTTTGTTAAAGAAAAAGAACAAAACGAAATTCTGCTCACGATGGGTTCCAGCGACGCTAGATTCGATTTTGTTTTTGTTTTTTTGTTCTGTTTTTTGTGTGTGTTCTTGTTGTTGTTGTTGTTCTTTGTTCAAATTCGTCTTGTTGTTGTTGTTCTTTGTTGTCTCTAGCTTTTTATTCTCCTCCTTGTTCTCCTGTTCCTTCTTTTCCGTCTTTCGTTTCTCTGATTTTTTTTTCTTTCCGATTTCTTCATCTACAACGTTTTCTTTCTTGTCTACTTCTAATTCACATTCTCCTATGCCTTGCTTTTTCCTTGTCCTTCTTCTTCTTCTTCTTTGCCTCCCGTTTCTTCGTTTGTTTGTCTTTTCCACTTTCGTCCTCTTAGCGGGCCGGCGAGAGGGAGAGAGTAAAGCCTGGGCGCTGAACTTGGGATTCGCCATGCAGTTTAGCTAACATGCACACACGACGCGAGACAAACAAACAGGCAGCGGAGTGAGAGATCAAAGGGGGGGAGGGGAGGGAGGGAGGGAGAGGGGAGAGGAGGGAGGGAGGGACAGGGGAGAAGGGAGGGGACGGTAGGCAGGCATAGGGCGATTAGGAATAAGAGGGATGATGAAAAAAAAAAATAAATGAAATAAAAAGATAATGATTAAAAAAAAAAAAAAATCGATTA